TCACCTCTTCACACAAACTCTGAAAGCATCCTGTTTGCATTCGGCACCATTTCTCAAATGTTAAGCCCTCAGATTTATAGTCATTAGCAAAATCATCCCCACAAGTCATCAGAACTATGCCAAATTCTTTCAGAACTCTCTCACCAAAGACCATCTTTACCATTTTTACAGCTTGTAATTCTTGTCTTGTAAATCTTACGCCATACTTTAATACAAAAACAAATGCTGTGATTTCCTTACATATTTCTAAAACGTCATCACGAATTGTTTTCAAAGTATTAACTGGTACTTTCAAATCTTCTTCCGCATCGCCAACATTTTCGCACTCTATCAAAATGACCTTTTTATCATTTCTAGAGACACGATAAACCAAAACACCGTTCTTGTTTATCTGGGGTTTTATATCTTGAGCTCCAATGAGTGATTTGATTGTTGAAGTTTTCCCATTTCCTGTTCTTCCTACAAAAACGATGTTTTCCATTTTCCTGAATTATAGTAAAGTAAAGCTTTAAATTATAAACTCAAAATCACACACACACACACACACACACACACATATATATATATATATATATATATATATATATATATATATATATATATATATATATATATATATATTCGTATGTGCTAATGAAAACATATTACCTTAAATTCAGATATCAAAATAGGTCATCGACTTGAAAAACGTTCCCAGCGTAGACACAGCGTTTGAATAGACTCTGTGTAGGTAATGCTACAAAAAAAGATACTCTAAAAATATATTTGGTAATTTATTTTTCTAATACACACGCTTATTAGGTAAAAACAAATAAAATATTTTGACTTTAAACACAATAAATACTAAGTACATTCACATAACACGTACAGATACAACACCTTAAGTGGAGCGTGGTAGGTCTGTAGGGAAAGGAAATGATTATGAAGAATGCGACAGCCGGCAATTTTATAGTCCGCCAGCGCGTGTTACCTATTGGCGCTTGGTTTTTCATACGTGTGTACATGTATTAATCAATCTTGAATGGAGCCACAGACACAATTTTTCCCGCCTCCTGAATCGTTGACAGGTATGGACAAGCTCAAACCAATTAGAAACACAAGGATTAAATCGACTTTTGTAACGCTTTAAAACATGCGTAGCGACGGTGGTGGGGTGGGGAGGGGGTCGAGTAGGTACATTTGTCCCCGGGCGCCGACCCTAGGGGCGCCAACATGATTTGGAAAAAGACAATTTTTAAAAATCATTTTAGCTGCTAATTTTGAACTATAAGTATAAAAAATGTAGGGGGGGGGGGGGGGGCAACGCCAAATCTAAAGTTTGTCCCCGGGCACCGGGAGGGTCGCTAAGCCTGTCATTTAAAATATTCTTTAAATTAACAATTTTGTTACAATCCTCACCATCTACCCTTTCTCTTTATACCCTGGTCAGCTCTAGGGCTCATCGCCATGACCTCTGACCCGCTGTTAGACTGCCCAGCCGGGTTAGCGAAATGTTTGCGACCGATTCCTGAGTCTGAAAAACTTATGGGACGGCACCTCGCGTAGATAAGTTCTTGTCTAGGTATTATACACAGTGCCAAACAGGGTTAATGATGTGATTGAAAACAATTTAGATACGGCCCATATTTTTATTAAATGTAATAATTTTAAAATTATTTTTAATGTCTATTCTAATAAATAAATAGACTGAAAATAATTATGTTTTGCGCTATTATCAAAAATGAACATATACGGAACGTTTCATAGAAATAGCAACACTAGAAATTTGTCTAGAATGAATTACAAGATTTTAACAAAAACAATCATAAAGACAAAAAAATGGTGAACGAAATCTTTCTTTTACATTTATCACAGATTCAAATAACTTAGACAATGAAATTTAAATTTTATAAAGAATTGTTTTTTTTTCTATTTTCAAATTGGCATAGGCCAACACCATGAAGAAGTAAGAAATTTCATAAACCTTCTGGTGTGTGATATGAACAAGTTATGTCAATCTATTTCATGTCCAGATTTCCTGTAAAATCTTGTTTGGACATATTTTTCAGTCATATTTCTTTTTTAAATTGCTACAACGGAATAAAAGAATCGAAATCGTTTTCGCGGACTTATTTTCACGAAAAACCGGCACGTTGATTCTAGTATAAACTCGCTTTCTTAAGGTTTATACGTGCGAATCATAATCAAAGGGGAAGCTATGGATACGTTCGTATGTTAAGAGCAGCTTGTACTAGTGCTATTAATAAGAGATGTTTAGAAATAAGATGTTTGACACACGCAGATACAATTTATTTTTGTTTACATCATCACGAAACAATCAAACGATTAGAATAATAATAAATTTTAAGCTAAAGCAAAACGCTAAGTAAACATGTTAAATTTAGTTAAAAACAAGAAAAAATTAGAAGATCCCACTAATATTAGTATAGATTTAAAAAAAATTAAATCCTTTATGTGAAACAGATTGGAACGTTAATACGTGAATATCTTATCGTTGAACCGGCAATTATTTAATTTGCCGTGTTTAGTCATGAACATAAGCTCTGTTTTATACTTCTCAAAATATCACACCTATTATATAGCTCGATCATATGATTTATGAATTATTTGGTTTCCTAATTTATTTTATTTATAAAAGATAACAGACTGAAAGAATAACACTTGTTATCTATAGCCTTAATAGCGTGTTATTTTGTTTTTTTTTTCTAAATAAGAAACGTGTATTTACTTAACAAGAAAATAAGTTATTATTGTGATTCCACACAAATATGGTCCTATATGTAATTTTAAGTATTAAGACTGTTTTAATATTGATAACTATTTCAAAACGCTTTGTTTTTTTTTGTTTTTTTAAATTTTAATTTGTTTAAGCAAATAGATAGTGGTTTTTGGACTTTGGCATCGAATATATTAAACAACCCAGTCTTAATGAGCCCCCATGTGTTTCGGTTAGGGGTGGGGTGGAGAGATTAAAATAAAAGGGAGTGTAAAGTACATGTGAAAACGTGTTTACGATCTACAATGATGCATGGATATCGATTTAAATGAACCTTATCCGTTACTAGTTGTATAGGATTACTTCAAACCAAGCAAGTGACCTATCCGTCATCTGACCTTTTTGCTTTATATATATATATATATATATATATATATATATATATACATAACACATAATTCTTGTGGGGGAGGAAACTCTTTTTTTAGATTCTCGGTGTAGCCAGACATGGGAATAAATTTAAGAAAATATAACAATATGAATTATTAAAAATATTATCCGAAATACTCTGGTAATACTTATCAAGATTGAACAAATACTTGTGACACATTGGCGCCAAGCGCTTCTGCTTGTTGCAGCTCGTGCTGGTTCCTTCGATTTGTATTTATTGGATTTCTTTTGTAGGAACATTTTTTTGCAATAATCTTGATTGCACTTGCGTGTTAAATATTGTTTATGTAAAACCAACGGTTACCACACCACAGTATATATATAAATATGTATATATATAAGAGGAACGTGATGTGTGAAGTTAGATTTTGAAAAAAAAAGTTACATTGAATTACATTTCTGAACTGTGAGTATATTACGTGCTAATGTGTAATTAATGAAAACAAAATTTTTGTAAGACTAACACTTATACGAATACCTTTGCAAAGATAGGTGATGTAATTGTTTATTATTTATTGTTAGAAAGTCTTAATGGGTTTAGCGAAGCGATTCTTCTTTGAAGCGAAAATTCGAAATTACTGTGCCAGGGAGAATCGTTAGACTGTTTAAAAAATGATTCCTCTTTAGACCTAACGATCCATTGGGCAGATGACGTGGAGTTCATAATAATATGTTTCTTGATCTGGGCATATAAAGGATAGTGTGGTCAGTATTACGACCAGCCGCCTTTACTTTCCCTAACACAAGTTAGGTACCCATTAGAGTTGGGTGGACTCAGGGACGTACCACTAACTTGAACCCTGATTCGAACTCGAAAATATCGGGTTAGCTGTCTGGCGCTTCACCGCAAGGTCCACAGCGTCCCATGTTAGACTGTTTAAGAATATGTATATCGGATAATTAAAAACAAAAACAAATTAGCTTCCAAATGTAATTTTGATGCATTATTCACATAGATACTCGAATTATCTTTTCTCTACAGCTACTAGCTCCAAGCTGTAGCATAAATATATAATGACAAACTGACTTCGGAAATAAAAGCTCCGGAAAATTTAACAGCATAATATGGGTGTAACATAATTTAACTCGAAATTCAGACAAATGCATAAGAGCTTAAAACAAGGGAATAAAAGCGAAAACACATGTGTGGAAAGGTTAAATAGTGGTGGAGCTTAAATTTCAGATGTAGGAGAAATTTCAGCGGTATTTAATACTTGCAGGGAACTTATTGAACAGTCAGTGCATGATGTTCCATGAGCGTTTAATGGGTAGCACTTAGTAAATGGTAACAGCTTAGTATATTTCATTGGTGTATTTTGAACAGAGGCCTTAGTCGAGTGCCATTATGACCAGGCTTTTATCACGGGGTTTAATCAGAGGACATGATATCGAGAATCATATTGGTGATAACCATTTGTCTGAGGTCCTATGTCGCCAGAGAGAGCTTTAACGATGCAGTCATTTTGTTGAATAAACCCTCTGAGTAGGTCAATTTCATGCGGTTTATTGGACAGTACCGTTTTATCACGGATTGTTCTGACGTAGCACTAATATTTACTTACATTACTCTTTTCCCGAGGCTTCTTTCAGCAAATAATAGATAATTAAACCATAAAAAAATCAGTGGGTAATAAAATAACGATAACAATGTAGATAATTTCAAACGTTTTGAAAACATTGCGTGAGGAAGCGCATTTTTACTTGGCTCGCCAATAGTGATGATGTCTGAATTTATTAGTTCAAGCATACATTTTATAAATTTTCAATCTTTTTCTGACTGATTAATCTCTTTTTTAAATAAATATGACATATCTTTCTCATTGCGTAGGGCATAATGGATTCATCTTCTCAGATTGATCTAGTTTTGATTGGCAAAGTCGGACAAGGGAAAAGCGCTACAGGCAATTCAATTTTAAGAGAAAACAAATTTTCCAGCAAAAGCCATATGGAACGGGTTACAACAGAAGCCCAGTATGAACATTGCAGATTTAATGGAAGAGTAATACAGGTGGTTGACGCACCAGGTGTTATAGACAATAGCGATGACGACTATAAAACGGCATCTACTGCCGTAGCCAAAAGCCAAAAATTAGTGCATGCAGCTTTGGAGCATGCTATGAAAACAAACCCCAAAGGTTATCATGCGTTTTTAGTTGTTACTAAATTTGGAGAACGCTACACTAGTGAAGACAGAGAAGCAATACTGAATTTAAAAAAAATATTGGGAAACGATTTTCTGAAATCGTTTGGAATTATTGTTATGACATGTGGGGACAAGTTTTCTTCAGAAGCTAAAAAAAGTTTCCAAGAATATATCAAGGAACTGAGGGGAGAGTTCAGAACACTTTTGTCAGAATGCGAAAATAGAATTCTACTATTTGACAACAAAACAACCGATTACAATGTAAAAAACAACCAAATAAAAAATCTTGTTGAAATGGTGGATCGGCTGCCCAACAGAGGAATAAGATACACCAACAGGCATTTTAAAGAAGCCGGAAAAATGGTTAAATACATCCCGGAAAAAGAAGCTTTGAAAAAGCAATTTTTTGTTTTAAATGATATACAAAATGCTCACTTACTCCCTTCGGGGGAGAAACGAAAGCAAGCTCTTATAGAATGTCAAAGTGAAATTGGCAGGTTTTTAGATGAAAAAAAGAAAAAAGAAAAATATTCAGATAACATGAAAAAGTTGTTTGAAAATGCTAAGGACATACTAATTGTTGTATCAGATGAAATCATAAATGCAGAGTCTGGTAGAGATTATTCCAGGATTGAAAGAAATTCTAGAAAAATTGCGGAAATCAAAGAGAACCTCGATGATATAAAAAATAATATTGAAACAGCGATTTCGACCACAAAATGTGTTATTTTATAGTTGTACGAACAAATCATAATAAATGTTAGTGTTTTACACTAGCTGTGATTAGTAAAAAGATATATTTTATCCATCTGAAAAGTTAAAACTGAAATTGGACATGTATAAGTATAAAATTCTTCCCCATAATGACACTATATTATAATTCCTGTACGTAAACATTAATTTATAAACTGCTGTTTTGATATGTTAGTGCAAATTACTTATATCTTTCTTGGATGTGAAAAACCCACAAAAGGCTACCTTCAATTAATTTATTACAGCTTGATACTTTAGACGTATGTATTTACACTTAGCTGTATTTAGATAATAATTTACTTTGAATATTATTTTATTTCTTAAAATTTATCCAACTTTCATAATAATCAACACTGTTCGAATTCACGTAGACTTACTTATTGTTGTGTGTGTTTTATTTCATAGTAAGTGGCTTTTAATTGTTTGTTATGCCGTATAAGGTGTGCATGTAATTTTTTAAAATAAAAACAAAATACACCAACACGTTGTTTTGGCAAAGCTTTATTTTACGTTTCACTAAGTTTTGTAATAAAACCTACGAAGATAGCTATTAATTATCTTAGTTCCAGTTAAAACATATTTCTTATGGGACGGCATGATCAGTAAGGAGAGCGCGGTTGCTTATTCCAGAAGTCACGAGTTCAAACTGGGCAGATGAGGCTCGTTGGTTTTGCACAGCATCCCATCAGGGTGAGACAACCCCGAAATCAAACGACTGCGCCTGTAATTTGTTCTTGGATTGACAAAAGCTATGGAAGACAATCTAGAAAAAAAAAACCAGTCTGAAATAGGTGTACACAGGCCATGTTGTGAATAACATAAAGATACTTAATATTTGATTGTGTTGGAGGAAATCCAATCCAACATTACAATTTAAGAGTAAAAAAAGAAGACTACTTCGTAGTTGCCAAGCCAGATTTATGTTTGTTTGCCTAGTCCTAGATGAACGGATCACGAGTAAATTTTATTTTATATCCTGATACACTCAGTGTTTCTATCAGACCCCCCCCCTCCACCCCCACCCCAGGAGAGAGTCTACCCCCCCCCCCCCCACCGAACGAAAAGGAATTTATATAGAAAATATATACTTCTAACAGTGTCCGCCCCCCTCCCCCCTCGAAAATTTCAAGTGCCCCCCACCCCCCGAAATACAGTCTGGAAGAAACACTGGATACATTGAACAACGTTAGGGAAATAACGAAATAACTTTTAGCAAGTTTAACATCAACTATTCATGTTTAGCATAGTAATCATGCTATTTTATTGAAAACGCAAGAGTAGGTAATTCAGGACAGCAGCCAGTAACAGTGCAAGGTCATCTCTAACCCCAGCCCTGGCCCTGACCTCAGCCCTACGGGTACTTCGACCAATCGAATATGTATATATATATATATATATATATATATATATATATATATATATATATATATATATATATATATATATATATATATATATATATATATATATATATATATATATATATATATATATATATATATATATATATATATATATATATATATATATATATATATATATATATATATATATATATATATATATATATATATATATATATATATATATATAAATATATATATATATATATATATACTAGCGTACCCGTCCTCGGGGATATAAGAAAGTCTGATGAAATATATAAGAAAGGTTTCATCCATGCGTTACCAATCCTTTGTTCTAAGACGCCTGACCTTGTTTTCTAAAACTGAGTTATTTAAATGTTAACAATGCCTGCGCTTGGATCATAAATATCGGGACACGGGTTTACCTACAATTACTACATGAAAACCTTGAGTGTACATTAATCACTCACCGAAATAATGAGGTAGAACACACTTTGGTGACCGCCCATTTGTCAGGGACGTCGAGGGGCGCTCTTACATTTTTGTTTGCAGCCAAATCACACCGTACTAGTGCGCGTTTGTAACGCCCCATCCTATTCATTGTCTATCACACTGTTTGGACCAAACGTAGTCACCATAGCGCTCACGGGAAAGATCAGGGCGCCAAATCACATCCTGCCGGGGGCCGCCCATGCAAAATTAAATCCCACCACCACCCATCCACCTACACCCCCTCTCCCACCCCAGAAACCTTCTCGGGAGTATTCATAAACTGAATCGTCTTTTATTTTTATGTACCGTATATAGAGAAATATCCAACCATTTCGTGGCGCCGCTCTTGCAAAATAAAAAAAAAACGATGTCAAACCACAATCGACTTTTATTTTTATATAGCGTATATAGAGAAAAAAACTAATTACGCCCTGCCGGGGCGACACCTCTGCGAATTTGAAAAATGTTTTTTTTGCGTAGAAACCTACCCAGGAGTTGTTTTACAGAACCCATTCCTAGAGTATTCTAATTAACTCACCAAAGTTTCATGCCAATTGGATGAACGGTGTCAAACCGAAATCGGGGCCACCCCTGCGAATTTGAATATTTTTTTTGCAGAAAGCTCCCCAGAAATATTCACAACAACTTCCCAAAGTTTCACGACGATGTGATGAGAGGTGTAGTAGTGCATACAAGACAGACACACAGACACACAGACAGAAAGACAGACATACATTGCTTTTTATATATATATATAGACATATGGTTCCATGAGAAATAATCTCAGGACAAATTATCTTAGGACAAATGAGCTCAAGAACAAATAATCTCAAAGACAAAGACACCAGGACAAAATATATCAGTATAAATGATTTCATGGACACATTCTGATATCAGATAAAATACCTCAGACTAAATAATATACTATTAAAAGTCTGCTATAAAAATTTACTTGATTTGAACATTTTCTTATATTCAGTAGCGTCTCTAGGTCGGGTGTCACCCGGTGCAGCACTTTATGGTAACCCCCCCCGCTACACACAGCAACGGAAAATTAAATAGTATATATATATATATATATATATATATATATATATATATATATATATATATATATATATATATATATATATATATATATATATATATATATATATATGTGTGTGTGTATTGTCGAGATGGTCAATGTGTACAATGTAATAAGACTTTTAAACTCTAATTATTCATTATCTGAACTGGCAAAAGTCATTTTTCTTCTATATATGTTGCAATTTTTCATCTTGGTGTCACCCCCCCCCCCCCTTATATGGTTTATCACGGTGAGGTCCGCACCCACCGCCCCCACCTCACGACGCCTCTGCTTATATTGACTGTTGTATGGTTTTGTTTATTTTTCTACACATAATAATTGTGAATAAAATGAATTCGTTAAACTTAACAAAACATCACAAGATTTATTATAGATGTAATGAATGAGGCGATAGCTGAGTAATCACCACATTACTGCTATTTTTGCTTGCACACTACGACAAACTTTGCTTCGCGATGACCGCTGTCGTTTAAATAAGCATTGGTCACTGATCACTAAGGCGTGACCGACGTATAACTTTTGACTTTAGATACTAGTTGTATTGTCCATGGAGGGCGGTTGTCTTTCCCTAAAGGCATGTCTATGCCATCAAAGCAGGCGGCCACCTTGATACGAAGGTGTGTTTTTATTGTTATTTCATCCCTTTTCATCTAGTTTCGTCCACCTGACGTGGTAGGATTGTCTCATTTTGGCAAGCTAACCTATGCTGTCTATCGAAAAAAAATGTAATAATCGCATTCTATATTAGTTATCTTAATTTTAGAATTTTTAATGCAATTTGAAAAATTTATACCGCAAACATTTTTACAATTATTATATAGGACTAAAAAACATTAAATATAATAAACAGTTTTTAAAACTGTTAAAACGAACTAAAAATATCGCATATGCTATCAAAATTTTGATGTGAGATATTTTGTCCTGGTATCTTTTGTCTGTTAGATCAATTTGTCCTTGAGATCATTTGTCCTGAGGTAATTTGTCCTGAGATCATTTGTCCTGAGGTAATTTGTCCTGAGATAATTTGTCCTTGTGATATTTTGTCTGAGGGATATATATTGTCTGAGATCATTTATTTATCCTGAGATCATTTGTTCTATCACCATATATATATATATATATATATATATATATATATATATATATATATATATATATATATATATATGAGCAGAAATTAAAGTATATTGTTAATGTTATACATTTTCGTTCAGGTGAACATTTTTGCTATTACACCAATTTTTCCAATATTGAAATACCACTATCTGTGAAATGCTTAATATAAATGATTATTCTAATGATTTTAAGGAAAGAATATCATGGCATTCCCTACCGTGAGAAAACCTCGCTACACCTTTATTCATTTTCAAAATCAAGGCTGAAGTTCGCCTGTTTAGAGCAGTGACGGGTCTAGTTTAGTTTCAGCAAGCAGTTAAAGTTCTCATGCACTGCCAGGTCTTGAACTGTCTTGTACTAGTCTTGTCTGGATATCGCACCGAACGAGGTCGGGTAATTGTCAATAGCTTTCATTTTCGTGAAAATTTACGAATGCTAACTTTTCTAAACGTCTCTAGTTGCTACAGCTGAAATCAAAAGCCTACAATGTTTTGACGGCGAGCTGAGTTGAAATCCATTCATGCGTAACATTTTTAATTTCAAATACCTGATCGTGGGAAAAAACTGGTTATTAGGTATGTTTTGCTTGCATTAAAAAAACATTATTGTGTGTGTGTGTGTGTGTGTATGTGTGTGTGCGTGTGGGTGTGTGTATTTGCAAGTGTTTGTGTATGCATGACACCACATTTTCATGAACTGTTTGGGCAATTTATCTAGGGACTGGAATTAATTTGAGTAAAATAATGTTATAGTGATGGGACAGGTGGGTGAAGATAATAGAGAAACACTAAGAAAAAAAATTAGAAAATCGAATTAAAAATCCCTGTCGAAACACTCATAAACACGCATCGACCTGTGTGTGTCAGATCTAATGAATAGTTTTTACAGAAAATTATATTCACATTTTTCCGGGGAAG